TCTGCTTATTTTCTACCTCCTACGCTTCCTTACCTCTTATGCAGACGATGAGATGAGTCACAATAACGTGGCTGAAGGCATGAAGACTAAACCACCCGCCAGAAAATGAGACGCCCATGTTTTGGTCCGTCCTGGACCAAAACATTATCATATTATGTACTGTAACAATTATTAAGTCGATTGTCTCGATTATTATCAAGACAATCGACTTGATAATTGTTACAGTACATTGTTTCAAGCGTGGGTTGGATTTGTATATGAGTGGGATTGACTGGTTATAGATAGGAGCTGCCTCGTATGAGCCAATAGGCCTTCTACAGTTAACTTTGTTCTTATGATGGTCCAGGACGGACCAAGGCGTCGTCGTCTCCTCGTCTCTTAGTTATTCTATTGAAAAGTTAGCTAGCCGACCTTCTAGCAATTAACACTAGAACTAAGCTGCACATAATTAAAATTCAGCAATTCCGTGTGGAAGTACGAGTACAGTACCTAAATTTGTCACTGTTCAATATCATGTTTACTGCTCTCCACTGGAATTGTGTTCATATCTGACTAGATTTTCGGTCTTCTACCTCATAAATTTCTACAATGATTTTGGTATCGTCTGTAAACTACAGCTTATGGCCTAATCTGTGACATGCAGATGGATGAGTAACTTTGTGAGGAGAGGTTAAGTCTTATATTTGTTGCAGTTTAAAAGTTTCGTTTGTCCAAATTATCCAAAATACAAAAGTATCCTTTCAGGTGGTCCTTTTCAATTCATACTGGCACTTTCACCCAAATAGTTGCCATAAGTATTTTCTTTTTAGGAGGATGGGCTGTTGAATTCTGACTAGATTTTCTTTCACTGCCACACTGATCCGTCAGAAAACGGCAAAACTCAAATTAAATACAAGTACTGTACTGCATCTGGTAATTTGGCTTGCATGGGGATCTAGATGAAGTGCAAAGCGTGTGGACAAAGATAGGGCCACACACTGAGGACGACGACTGCTTGAGAGGAGGGCTGTTTGAGGCTTCAAAAAGACCTAGACAAACTAAAGGAATGGTCGAACAAATGGTTGTTAGAGTTTAACCCAAGCAAATGTAATGTAATGAAGATAGGTGTAGAGAGCAGGAGACCAGATACAAGGTAACATTTAGGAGATGAAATTCTTCAAGAGTCAGAGAGAGAAAGACTTGGGGGTTGATATCGTGCCAGACCTGTACCCTGAAGCTTATATCAAGAGGATAACATCAGCGGCATATGCCAGGCTGGCCAACATAAGAACGGCATTTAGAAACTTGTGTAAGGAATCATTCAGAACTTTGTATACCACATATGTCAGACCAATCTTGGAGTATGCAGCTCCAGCATGGAGTCCATATCTAGTCAAGCATAAGACTAACCTGGAGAAGGTTCAAAGGTTTGTCACCTAACTAGTGCCCGAGCTGAGAGGTATGAGATACGAGGAGAGACTACTGGAATTGAACCTCACGTCGCTGGAAGACAGAAGAGTTAGGAGGGACATGATCACCACATACAAGATTCTCAAAGGAATTGATAGGGTAGATAAGGACATGCTATTTAACACAAGGGGCACACGCACTAGAGGACACAGGTGGAAATTGAATGCCCAAATGAGCCACAGATATTAGAAAGAACTTTTTTAGTGCCAGAGTGGTTGACAAATGGAATGCATTAGGAAGTGATGTGATGGAGGCAGACTCCATACACAGTTTCAAGTGTAGATATGATAGAGCCCAGTAGGCTCAGGAACCTGTACACCAGTTGATTGACAGTTGAGAGGCGGGACCAACGAGCCAGAGCTCAACCCCTGCAAGCACAAATAGACGAGTACACTAGGACCAAGATTCATCAAGCAGTTATGCAAGTACTGTACATACGCAACTTTTCGTTATCATTGCTGTCTTGGCGGTTACGCCACGAATCTGCAAGCTATTTACGAACACAGGTTCTCCTCGGGGCAGCCCTTCATGCTACGACACCTCCAGAGCACTCCTAGCTTTACGTAAAACGTACAAAAGCAAAGTTTTCTCTACTACACAACCGGGAACTCTAAATACAGTACCTTCTGCAACAGATGCTGTCATGCCAGCAAGACACTGTACAGTATACTGTAGATACTGCATATGCTTTGTAACTCATTAAATATATATTTTATGAAACAAAATAAATTTATATAGCAAGTTATTATATAAATACAATACTTGAATCAATATTAACTTTCCACTTTCTAATTTTGTTGTACGTCGGTATAGTAAGTAATTATCAAAGAAGGCACCAAGCCGGGAAGACTATGTAGCAGGTGTACGTCGGTACATATACTATGGTCTGCATCGTTACTATAAGTACTACCACCAAAACAAGAGGATGGACTGGAAAAATAAATAAATCCTAACCTAGCCTCACCTAGTCAAGTACTTATATATTGAAGTACAGATTTTAATGTGGCTAATGCTTGCCTGTACAGTAATTATTAATTTTATTTTATTGTTTATGTAACATATCCTACACTTACAGTTTCATCTAAAAAATAATGGTAATATAGTATAATATGAATACCCTTAGCTGGGTACTTGCCATTATTATTAATTAATACCTATACAGGTGTAAATTATATTTGTATACAATAGGGAAATCCCACCTTTCTAATTTTATGTACTGTATCTCGATAATTGTCTTTATTTGCCAATATCTGTCTATTTTTTTTTGAGATACTGTATATACAAGAGTTGTTACATTCTTGTACAGCCACTAGTACGTGTAGCATTTCGGGCAGGTCCCTGGAATACGATCCCCGCCGCGAAGACTCGTTGTTACAACCAAGTACTGCACCCATTTTACTGTTGAGTTAAACAGAGACTACAGTTAAGGATTTGCGCCCAGTAAATCCTCCCCGGCCAGGATACGAACCCATGACAATATTTTTATTGTCATGGGTAACCGATGGGTCATGGGTTTGTTTATTGTTTTATTGTCATGGGAACCCATTTTAAGCAGTTAGTTTATTCAAGCCTTTCTTAAAAAGAGCTTCAGAATAAGCTATATATCACTATGAAAGGTAGCTTACTATAAATTCTCTCTTGTCTTGTAAAGTATCTTTTAATGTCATTAGAATAGTATACCTGCCGTTGTTTGCTTAGCCTTTTTCATAAATTCAACGTCACATTAGAGCATTGGTATTTTTTATATAAGGCATAATTATAATTGGCGATATCACTTCATAGTATATTTCATTGCATAATTTGGAATTTACTTAATCTTGGAAAGTCATTTTTTTTTTTAGATATATACAAGAGTTGTAACATTCTTGTACAGCCATTAGTACGCGTAGCGTTTCGGTCAGGTCCCTGGAATACGATCCCCACCGCGAAGAATCGTTGTTACAACCAAGTACACATTTTACTGTTGAGTTAAACAGAGGCTACAGTTAAGGATTTGTGCCCAGTAAATCCTCCCCGGCCAGGTATACGAACCCATGACAAAGCGCTCGCGAAACGCCAGGCTAGTGTCTTACCACTACACCACGGAGACTGTATCTTAGTATGTAATTATACAGGAACAACAATTTATGAAGTTATAGAACAATTAAAATTAAATTATTAACCTATATTAATGTTTAGTCAATATACTGGGTATATAACAGAACAGAGCACTCCTGTCTCATAATTGCTAGACCACCATGATATGGCCCTAGATGCTATGGAAGACGATCAAAACCGATGTAATAAACAGATTCCCCAAAAGCTTTCATCAAATGTGACCATGGTGTTATTGCACACAAAATGAATTTGTACTGTCAAATTAGGGAGACGGATCTTTAATTTCCTAATGAACAGAACCCAGAGTGTAATAATGGAAATAAAATCTGGATCAGTGTGAAAACCTCGGTTAGCCAAGGGACTGCATGCTCCCATACTTTTTCTCATCCTCAAATTAGATATAGGTAACAATACAAACTATAATACTGTATCATCCTTTACAGATGACACTAGGATCTTTGCGAGAGTTAGACAATATAGACGGCACAGCAAACTGTCTTCTATTCAAACTTCCAATGTAATGTTAAGGAGGTCTTTCAATGAGCCACAGTAAACATGTTAAGCGAGGATACATTTCAGCTACTGCGTTATGAAAAAAACGAAAATATAAAATGAAAAACATTAAACAGTCAAACAAAGAATTGAAAGAAAAATCAATGTAAAAGATATGGGGAGTAATAATTTTGGAAGACTTTACTTTTAAAGAATGCAATGAACCAGCTGTCACAAATGCAAGAAAAATGATAGGTTGGACAGCATGTACCTTTTAAACAAGAGATACCAGACCAATAATACCTTTTAAGACACTAGTGTTCTCTAGGGAGTACTACTGTTGCACAATAACAGCATCATTCAAAGCTCGAAAAATTGTTGACCTGGAGAGTGTGAAAAGATCCTTTACTGCTAGAATACAGTCATCAAAATTATTGGGACTGCTTAAAATGTTTAAATCATGTTTAAATTCCCTAGAGCGCAAGTGAGAAAAATACATAAAAATTTATGTTTTGAAAATACTAGAAGGAATAGATCAAAATCTGCATATGGAAATAGCACCTCATGAAACCAGAAGGTATGGTAGGATTTTCATAATAGCCCCATTCAAAATCCCAATGCCCAAGATTTTTCAACTCTTCCCACTCTTCTTATACAGGACATAACTGGCCAACCTCTGTGTTAAAAAAAAATTGATAAAACATCTTCAAGGGGGTACCAGATCAACCAGACTGATTCAAATACATGTCTGGTTGCATGCAGCCCCATTGAACAGACTGGTCAGCAAGCAGTCGCAAGGTTGTTAACCCTTGGAATCATCGAAAGGTAACAATGGTAAGGTGTATAATTTTTTTTAAGTTTCAAAGATGGCATTCTATCCATTTAAAATTTCTCAAGTCTGCCAAAAGTGTTCTAATTGTTGTTGAACTGTTATTTCTAAAAATCCCAGCTCAGCTGACCTCTCAATTGTAGCCCAACCCCTCGCCAACCCCATCACTGCAGCCTAGGGTCTTCTTTCGGAATCCCAGCCCCTCACATGTCCCCTCACTATGCCCCAGATCCTTACCTGCAACACCACCACAACCACGAACCTCCCCTGCTCCATCACTAGACCCAAGATCTTCATCTGCTCCATCACTAGACCCAAGATCTTCATCTGCTCCATCACTAGACCCAAGATCTTCATCTGCTCCATCACTAGACCCAAGATCTTCATCTGCTCCATCACTAGACCCAAGATCTTCATCTGCTCCATCACTAGACCCAAGATCTTCATCTGCTCCATCACTAGACCCAAGATCTTCATCTGCTCCATCACTAGACCCAAGATCTTCATCTGCCCCATCACTAGACCCATGATCTTCATCTGCCCCATCACTAGACCCAAGATCTTCATCTGCCCCATCACAAGACCGAAGATCTTCATCTGCCCCATCACAAGACCGAAGATCTTCATCTGCCCCATCACACGACCGAAGATCTTCATCTGCCCCATCACAAGACCGAAGATCTTCATCTGCCCCATCACAAGACCGAAGATCTTCATCTGCCCCATCACAAGACCGAAGATCTTCATCTGCCCCATCACAAGACCGAAGATCTTCATCTGCCCCATCACAAGACCGAAGATCTTCATCTGCCCCATCACAAGACCGAAGATCTTCATCTGCCCCATCACAAGACCGAAGATCTTCATCTGCCCCATCACAAGACCGAAGATCTTCATCTGCCCCATCACAAGACCGAAGACCTTCATCTGCCCCATCACAAGACCGAAGATCTTCATCTGCCCCATCACAAGACCGAAGATCTTCATCTGCCCCATCACTAGCCCAAAGATCTTCATCTGCCCCATCACTAGCCCAAAGATCTTCATCTGCCCCATCACTAGCCCAAAGATCTTCATCTGCCCCATCACTAGCCCAAAGATCTTCATCTGCCCCATCACTAGCCCAAAGATCTTCATCTGCCCCATCACTAGCCCAAAGATCTTCATCTGCCCCATCACTAGCCCAAAGATCTTCATCTGCCCCATCATAAGCCCAAAGATCTTCATCTGCCCCATCATAAGCCCAAAGATCTTCATCTGCCCCATCACTAGCCCAAAGATCTTCATCTGCCCCATCACTAGCCCAAAGATCTTCATCTGCCCCATCACTAGCCCAAAGATCTTCATCTGCCCCATCACTAGCCCAAAGATCTTCATCTGCCCCATCACTAGCCCAAAGATCTTCATCTGCCCCATCACTAGCCCAAAGATCTTCATCTGCCCCATCACTAGCCCCAAGATTTTCATCTGCCCCATCATAAGCCCAAAGATCTTCATCTGCCCCATCATAAGCCCAAAGATCTTCATCTGCCCCATCACTAACACCAAGATCTTCATCTGCCCCATCACTAGCCCAAAGATCTTTATCTGTCCCATCACTAGCCCCAACACTTTTTTTCGTTGATTGTTGGTTAGTAGCACCCAAAAACATGATTAAAGTTTTCCACCAAACACTTCAGAGGATATCTAGCCTCGCCGGAAAAATGAGCCGTTGTCCATTTCCTCTACCAGTTATGGGCCACGGTAACCCCTTCGTATGCAAGATAGGTATATTGTGCATAGCTGAAATCGAATTGGCTATAGAGAATAACTTGAAATCTAGTTCTGTATTTTACTTTCCACCAGTCTTGGTACCAAAGCTTTTGATGTCACCATTCATAAGTCTTCGTATTGGGACGGAACTCTGCTACCTTTATCAACAGAAAATGGTCTTTCTGCAAGTTTCGCCACCAAACCACTTTTTCCAGATTCCACATCAACTCTCAATCAATCGTTACACAGCAGACACAGTTTTGCGATTTAGTATATTCCTTAACTCACCCCATTCGCCACATGAATTCGGATGTGGCAGGTCAAACTAACTAGCAAACAGTCTGCGGTTTTTGCTCGCCAGCTGCTACTCGCACTCAACTAATATACCTGTTGGTGTTATGCTGAAGTGTAATTCGTGTACCGTAATATCTTTATACGCCGTTTGTCGTAAATCTACACGTTTTCTCTAACTCACATACGACTGCGTAGCCTACCTCCTACATCCCTAACATGCTATGTCCTCCTACATACCACCCACGTTGAATATTTTAATCCTCTCTGAATTCCTGCGAGAAAGACAAATACAACAGATACACTCCTTGCTATCCACAAGCTCGTGGATAGCAAGGAGTATTGCCGTTATCATATTAAGGCTGGCTCCTCCGCTCGCCGTATGCTATCATATCACAAACTCCCCGAGACGGGACACAAGAACCTCCCACCCCAACCTATTTCCCAGTGAATACTCAATACTTTATCTCTATAGTAACTGATACTGCAGGCAAGACATGTTGAGAGACAGCACTGGATGGGGCTCTCTTACACGTACAAATATGGGAGTATGGGGATACTGAAAGCCTTGCATACGAAAAACTTACCTCCTCTTAAAAACGTCAGTCCTGTCTTCATTTCCTTGGCGTGACAGGGAATTCAGGTTTCAAATAATTCTGCTAAGCGTGTCCTTTGGTCGCGGCGAGGTGTAAACTGCCAACAAGTAGAGGGAGGAGTCGACGCTGGGGCCGAGTATGATGGCCCCCCTCCACCAGCCAACTCCCACTTGCCCCCTGTGTAGCGCACCCACACAACGATCACCCCAAGTTTGTTTACTTCGCCACAAACTACGTCACCTTTATCTGTCCTACAAGCACAACACCGCACGTTAATTCTACCCCATGAATTGTCAGTTTCCACTTCAAAACGCCATACCAAACCACCGGACTTTGTCACATAACCGGACTCCCCATCTCAGTCGATTTCTGAGCACCTGACGATGTGCCCCGAGGACTGTGTCTTCGCCAGGCTGTCCACCAACACAAGTTCTAACTGTACACGCACTTCCAATTTCCTCCGTCCACTTTAGACCACAATTTTGATCGAAAAACTGCAGAGCAACTCTACACCGCCTTTCTCTATTAGGCCTACGTGGTTACGCTGAGAGTGGCTGGGGACGAGAGCGACGAGGGGTCCTCCCCCGCGGAGGCAGAGTGGCCTCGCCCGAACACACAAACTTGTGGCGGACACCAAACTGGCACACCGACCCCGCTAACCCGAACATCACCCACACACCCACACCACCAACTCCCACCTCACAAATTCACCCAAAATCCACAAGGGAAATGTTGTGCCCGTTCGGGGGCTTAAAGCTACGGAGCTATAGGCTCCTCAGACGAAGTGAATGCAATTAGAAGAGAATATATTGCCACCGCCATTTATTTGAGAGCTGCAGAGCTCTCTGGGCACACGAGGGAGAATCTCTTGGTATTAAATGTTTATTCTCTACCTTCTCTACAATCTTAATAGTTCGCTGAATAATTATTTCCACGGGGAACGAAATTATCGATGATAGTCGGCAGGAACTAACACTCGACGAAATTTCAGCATTCAGCGTCACCAAACATGTAACGGCTTTATTTACTTGTACGAAAATTGAAAACAAATTGTCACAACACTTGTTTGTCGCGAATATGATGCAGAAAGCCACATAAACAAATTTTGTCCAGCTGATCTGTGAACGCCCATTTCACTGTCCATAGATCCCAAACAGCGGAGATAATTGTCTGGAGGCATCTTGAAGGGTGTTACAAGGTGGCCGTCTCGTACTTACCATTTCACGTCCACAGATGACCGGGATTTTGAGAGATGTTATCAGAGTGACACACAGACACATCCGCCATGGAAAATACTCAACTACGAATTTCAGATGACAGTGACGTCACAGTGTTTGCCTCACGATAGCCAATCAGAGGAGAGCGAACTTATATTTGCCGATCACAAAGTCTTTACTGAATATTTTATTCTTCTATAATTCTATTTGGATGAACAAACTTGCATGGCAAATTTTCACTTGGCGTGTTGATGTATTGTTTAAATTTCATTTATTTCTAAATTTGAGTAAATTTATTTATAAAATATCCACTGAATAGTGCTGGAAACAATCGTCTTCCCTGGTAAACATGTATCAGCTGATCGTGGTTTCTCTGCAGAATGTAGGTATTTTTCTTCTGTTTATGGGAAGCCACCGCTTCCTGTTGAATGAAGAACTATATCGGCTACTTCTACATGCAATAAAGAGTGTCGTGTTGACAAACTGGCTCTGGAAAGGCTCGAATTTGCAAGTAAATTAAGGTAGTAAATGTTGGGGCTGGTCAGAAGTGTTTGTTGTTAGTGGGGAGCATGGCGGCGCGGGGTGGGTCTTGGGTTAGCACGCCCCCTGCCACACTCCACTCCATGTCAAGGCTTGCACTTGTCATTTGGCAATTGTATTACATTTTAGGTCTGTTTGCGAGTAATTTTTATGGTTAAAGCAAATACAAAAATGATAATTTATTAGTAAATAATGTCTGAAAAGTCACATTTCTGTAAATCTCAGCTGAAATTTCATCTATTTGGTATATGATCATATTCAAAGTTATTACCCACAGGAGAAATTTTTGTGTGTACCTTCCGAGCGTTAAATTTAATTTGCAGAAAATGTCAACATGAGAAAATTTTCAGTGGGATTTCAGTGTTACAGAACTGTATGGGTGGGGCCTCCTAATTAGAATGCTACTCATACTGTGATTGTTCAAGTTCAAGTATGTTTATTGAGATAAGAAAGAAATACATCTCAAAGGGATAGAGTAGCTTAGGCTATTTCTACCCCCCTAACTGTGATTGTGAGTATATCAACTTGGCTTTAATTCTGTAGCCAAGTTGTCTTGAGGGTATTAAAACCTCATTGCAAGCAGAGTTTTGCCTTGCCACTACCTTGTCACATGGTTTAGCTATGCGAATTTTTAGTACTACAGCTGTTTATGGTTAAACAAGATTTGTTATTCAGTGTTTCATCTGCAGGGGATGCCAACTCATTCAGGAACTGTAGGAGATTGATCCTGCCTGTGGCAATCATGTTTCTATGGGTATAGCCCCAGCTACATCAAGATTAGTCATTCACACCCATAAATTGTTAGTTTCATGCAAGTCATATGATTTCGAACTAGCTAAAGAGTCACACAGTGAATATAGTAGTATCTTACAAGCCCAGGCCCTTTGTGACATGATGTCATTCACTTAGATTATATAATGATATAGCAGAACAAAATTACTTGCCCTGTTTTGTGGTGCCAGAACATGTCGGCTCACTTCTCGGTTGTGGTTTGAGAACTCGATACATTTCTCATTTGTCGACCTTTATTGGAATTGTGAAAAAGTTGAAAAGCATATCTGATAATAAGTAAATGACTTCTATAGGCCTTTTAGGTACATATTTTGAAGATTATATCATAGGGTGTGAGATACATAAAAATTTGTAGTTTTGTGTGAAAGTTCATTTATACATGTGTAACGTATGCAGTCGAGTACTGCATCATGGTTAATGATTTAATGTGGCATTATTTTTAATGTGGCGGCCCAGTCCTCGACCAGGCCTCCTTTTTATTACATTCCCAAGAAACAGCCCATAGCAGCTGTCTAACTCCCAGGTACCTATTTACTGCTAGGTGAACAGGTGCATCAGGGTGAAAGAAACTGCCCATTTGTTTCCGCCTCTACCGGGGATCAAATCCGAAGTGCAGTCCTCTCATTCGAGGACAGAAATATGATTTCTGTATTCACTGTGAACTTTCATGAGTTACTGGAAAAGATGAGCTGAAGTCATTCAGGCTACAGTGATGAAAATAGTGAGTAGGGAAGATGGTTACAGTGATAAAGATGGTATGCACAGTGAAGATGTAAGATGAGGGGATGGAGGGGGGATAAAAATTTGGATATAGAGATAGACCACCCGGGTGTCAGAACAGATGGCAGGTACTGTATGCCAGGGTTTGGCAGTTAATTTCTTGGGACCTGCCGAGTGGTAAGATCTGATATTTCAGGAATGGTGGTAGGGTGTGTCATTACTCCTCAGATATGTTTTCATATTGTTTAGGGATTTTTATTCACTTCCCATGTGACCGGGATTTGCAAACTGGACACTCATGTTCAATGACTCATGTCTAGGAAACCATTGACCATTAAGGACTGATATTTATATGCAAGATAATGTGGTTTGTTTGGCATATGTCAGCGACATTTTAACCAATTTGAAATAATAGTATTTGAGTTGGTGTCCAGAGACAAAAAATGAGAACCAATTTAGAAATCAATCTACGGACACCTTTCATTACACCATAAGACCCCTCTCTAGGACCCCTAGATTTAATTTAGATAGTAGATTTAAGAGAAAGATTTCTGGGGAAAGGTAGAGTGCTGATGTGGCAGCTGTGGATCCAGTCACGTGAAAATTGCATGTTGTGATGATAAAGCAGAAGTTTAATTATATTCTAGTCTGTAAAACAGATGAAATTAGATTGGTTTGGAGAGGTTTGCCATCAGAGAGACATGCAAGTAGATTAAAGGAAACTATTTCAGACCATATAGTCAGTTAAGAATTGGTTTCTGCTATGGAATGTACAGATACAGAGGGCACAAACTCTATATTGTAATTGTTGTGAAATGCTGTTAAGACTATCATTGAAAACTACCTTGATGTACTATCTGATTTTCTTCCACTCCAATTATGCTTGATCCATACATGCAGTATTTCTTTTAGTGATTCTACAATCATTTTTGCAAAGAACCGAGGGATTTCCAGGTAAAGGCAAGAAAACTTAAGTTTGAGGTAATAGAGCCCTATTGCTCCTCAATAATGCTTCTGCTTTTTGTGAGTTTCATGCTTTAAATCATTAAATGCCAGAATTCTGCCTAGCCTTTTCATAAAAAACATCACCACTAAACCAATCTTTGACTAACCAAGGCCAGGCTTGGGGAGTAGAAGAACTCCCAGAACCCCATCAACCAGGTATCAACCAGACTAAAGTGATTTTTGAGCAGCAAAAATGCTTTTCCGTGACGAATTGCTATGTTGGTTATTGATGTGGCTTGGAAAGATAATAGAGCTCAAAAGAACATTGGAAACTAAACCATTTACAATTGGTATAATGCAGGGGAAAAAGTGAAGGTCATGACCCTAGAGAGAGCACAGAATAAGGTACCACAGCAAGTTGGTGATAAGGATGATGGTAATTATAATGGTAGTTCTCAAAGCCCTCCCAGTCATTTTGAGGGCTTTAAGAACAACAATTTTTCATATCTTTTAAAGATGCAGGTGATGAAGTGGATGAAGAAGTTTCTGTTGCGTGATCATAGTGATGAGGATGACTCTGGATAGTATGCTCAGAGGGTGAAATAGCAGCAATTGCTATTGGGGCTGAGAATGAATTGCAGGTGACTTGCCCCACAAAGTAAGTATTTAAAAAAGATTTGGGTTATGTTGACAGCTGCTGGAGTTTTGCTGTGTTAAACTTTTTGTGTTTTTGCTGTGATGTTAGAGATTGGTGGGTTCTATTTGCAGCTGAGGCTTGTAAGGGAAATATTGCAGACAGATAAGAAGAAATGAAAGACAGTTGACGAATGGACTAACATAAAAGGACAGGTCTGTGAAACCTCCACCACCACTCTACATGTCAATGTGCAAAGAGTGCACTAGGTCAGTGAGTACAATTATATAACTGTAGCCTGAAGCAGGACCCTTAAGCAGTACTAGTGCCATCCCAGAACCAATGTCTCTATTAAAATTGTAATTCCTAATACTGTGTACAATTTTTTTTGTTTTGGAGTACAGTAACATGTTTTAAGTTCATCTTTAAGACTTAAATTCTTGTAATTTATACTTTTGCAAACTTATTTAAAGTAAATATTAAATGTGCAGTTATGGTACTATGTGAAAAAGCTTAGTATTGAACTGTATTGTGCACCACTATACAGTAACTGCAATTTTGAAAGCCCTCTTGAAAGACATCATACTTTGTAACACTAGAACATAAGGATCCATGTGCTCTTTTATAATACTGTACTTCAAGATGGGCACTTCTCCTGTACCAGGTAAGTACGACAGGCTCACCCGTGCTGCTTGCAACTTTTTGTCTCAAGTAGCTGAATC